AAAGTGAGCAGCTGCCAGAACCATCCAACTCGCCCATAAGCTGGAAACAATTGAACAATCTATCAAAACCGAACGCTTCCCAAAAAAGAGTTCTTTGGAGGGAAATGAAGGGAATATGGGAGAAATAAGCATCCAACTCGCCCATAAACTGGAAACAAATGAAAAACCTATCAAAACCGAACGCTTCCCAAAAAAGAGTTCTTTGGAGGGAAATGAAGGGAATATGGAAGAAGAAAAAGGAAATATGACAGGTTATGAAAATCACTACAGAAAAGGGCCAGGTTGAATACTATTTTGTGGGTTTTCCCAAGGGAAGAAATTATTCTAGGGGTAGTGGAGATATCCTGCACTTCCCAAAAATCAAAGTGAGCAGCTGCCAGAACCATCCAACTGGCCCATAAACTGGAAAAAAATGAAACGCCTATCAAAACCGAACGCTTCCCAAAAAAGAGTTCTTTGGAGGGAAATGAAGGGAATATGGGAGAAATAATGGGAAATATGACAGGTTAGGAAAATCACTACAGGAAAGGGCCAGGTTGAACACCATTCCGTGGGATTTCCCAAGGGGAGAAATTATTCTAGGGGTATTGGAGATACCGTGCGCTCCTCAAAAATCAAAGTGAGCAGCTGCCAGCTGAAAAAAAACTATAAACACCGAATGCTTTCCCTTTCACACTCATTCCCACCGAGTGTTCTTTGGAAGGAAATGAAGGGAATGTGAGAGAAATGTGGGGAAGTATGAAAAAAATGGAAATATGTAGGAAAGAGCCATCATTTTGCGGGAATCCCCAAGGGTTTTTTTTTAAATCTTTTTTTGTTCAACCATTTAAAATTTAGATGAAATTATTTCAAAACATAGTTATTCCAGGGTATATTGAAGGCTTAGATTATAACTCGCATATTCCAATATGCACATCCGTAGGCCCACTGCTTAGGAAAATTATTCAACAGCATGTTTTCTTTAAACATATTCCAAAACCTGGTTGATACCCCCGCGTTTTTCTTGAAGGGATGGAATCTCCCCGGTACACCTGCGAAGGCGATCATGTCGGGTAGGGGGGGGTCCCAAAGTATACATATGTAAAGATTGGAGTCTCCGGAGGGGGGCAAAATAATTAACTCCCCAGGGGTTGAAATAATTTTTACGAAGGTTCACCACCGTCGATGAAGGGGGGGGGGGGTCTATCGTAAGAAATTATTTTACCCTAAAGAGGGTTGTTTCGTATAACAGCCGAAGACATTATCAACCCCCTGAAAATAATTTTGGAAATTATTTTTTGGGGGGGGGAGGGGGGGGGTGTTTAGGTATGGTAGATCATTTTGACTGGAAATGTGCTTTGCCCACAACGGCGTGCACTTTTTTCGACATCTGAACCTCCAAAAGTGGTCCGAACCCTGGTGTTTTTAACATTTTGACTTCGAAATGTGCTTCGCGCCACAACGGCGTGCACTTTTTCGACATCTCAACTTCCAAATGTGGTCGAATGGTGTGTTTTTGTCATTTTGACTTGGAAAATGCGCTTCGCGCCACAACGGCGTGCAATTTTTCATCTCTCTCTGGCCAGCTGGCTCCGCACCCGCCGCTTTAGCGAGCCTACTTTTCGACCCTCCGGAGCCACAAATCATTAGAAAAAAACAGTGTTTCGCGACTTTCCTACCTTTTCGCGCATCTGTATCTTCTTTCTTCTGACTCTTTCTCTTCTACTCTTCTCTCTTCTAATCTTTCTCTTCTCTCTGACCCTTTCCATCTCTGCTTTTCATCTGTCCATATTGTCGGAAGTTTGACTTCTAAACTTCCTTCGATAATTTAATATGATATATATATATATACATATTATGATTTTACTAATATTACGAAATAATCTGGTTGGTGGTTTGGAACATTTTTTCCATTCAGTTGGGAATGTCATGATCCCAACTGACGAACTCAGGGGTAGGTATACCACCAACCATATATGTATATATACATAGATATCATCCATAATCCATGGAATATTAATAGTAATATCTGGTTATCCATATATTTATGGATTGTATATTGATGGATTATATCCATAAGTATCCATGGTTTATTGTAATATAAACATCATTTCTGGATTAACGAATGCTAACCATAACAAATAATTCATCCATTATTATAATATGGATACATCCATTCCCATAGATGATACATATTAATATGGATACATCCATAATTTCAAGACGAATATCTAAGTTTCAAGACGAGAAAAATGGACAAATCCCATGCCAAAGTCTGAGCCAACTCACTGGATGGATTTTTTTGTTCCCCGGAACAGGGGTTTCACGATACCCAGAAGTAAAACTTTCGTTAGCAAGGGATCAGCACTCCACCAATATGTGTATATATATATATATTATGATTTATATATATATATATATCAAAATTATATATATATATATACTATCATTATATTATACATATTGTGTAATTTATCATAGTGTTTCCCAGTCTTGTGCTTGGGTGGGCATCCCAAGCATCCTAGAGTTGCTTCATAACCCCAAAAAACAATTGGAGATATCAATCTAACTGTGGTATTACAAATGGTTATAAACCAATACATCTATCCATATCTATCTCAGTTTTACTGGTAATATTTCGAGGGCACGTCCACCTGTAAGGGTTGGATCACTTGGATCTTGAAATTGTCGCTCCACGGAGCACTTGGATGTGCTGCGCCCCGTGGTGAATCACGACTAAGGTCGCCACCAGCCTCAACAGGGGCAGCATCATCACGCGCATGTCTGGTGCTCAACGACTCTGGTCCTGAAGGTGCATGGATTTACCTCATGAGTATGTCACCAAGCGGAAATGCTTGGTACAACCACCAGACATGGTGGTAAAACCCACCCCATCAAATTATGCTGATTCGAGTTGGATAATTGATCATTTCTGGTGGATTCAAAAAAATGGCTGGCTATATATGGGATGGTTTGCGAAGTATCATGGTGGACCGGAGCAAGGCCAACCATTCTCTTTTCCATGTTTGACCAAAAGATCTGCCTTGCCCAAATTGTTGTTTGGTTTTTTTGCCGTATGGGTGACTGTACGTAGTGCGTCCTAAAGATCCTGAAAAGTAATAATTGGCAAACCATGGATTGTTTTTCTTTAAACAAAGATGGCACTTAAAATGGGCTAGCAATAATCCTGAAAATCGCACGATTGATGCTACTGTACATCCAATTTTTAAACCGAAGTGGCCCTAAAAGTCAATCTTGCAACAATCGTGAAAATGGCAGAATTACTCATATGACATGTTTTTCACCCAGAATGGCTATAGAAAATGTAAACGACAAAAACATACAAAAACTAATCATGAAGATTTCCCGTCATTTCAACAACCCAACAGTGCAGACTTTGACCCATCCCATGTGGTTTCCACCCTAAGGCTGAGAGAAGGTACGACTCGGACCATGGTTTTCACCATCATGCGGGGGCCCATCATGCGGGGGCCCCAGTGGAGTGGTGCCACTGGGAGGATAGGACTGGAAGATCTCAGGACTGGGTTTGTCTGAAAACGTACGTAAGAGATTACACTGTGTATATACTATCATCACCTACACGCTACACATAATATATATATATATATATATTATATATTATACACTTTACACATACATATATACTCTATGCCTTAATATTATATATATATATACATACACGTACCCGCACACACATACTATATATAAACTACACATATTTGTATGTGTATACATATATCACATAGATTGTTTGATGAGGAAAACGTCTGTATATCATTTGTATAATATATATATATTGATATATCCCACATTTAGTATGGATATACCCCTAATGCTCAGATTTCATCATCATCCGAATGATCTTTTTGGCGGCGATTTTTTTTTTTGTGAAACAGTGAAAGCACCAGGAAAAACAGGCTGGATTTTGCAGAATGCTTGAAATGTTTGGACCCAAAGATGTTTCTCAATCATCCTTTTACTTGCTCTTGCCCAAGAAAATCACCCATTGATGTAGATAGATATGCCAGCTCCATTTGATGGTATGGGTTTACGATAAGAGATAAGTCAAGTTCTGACCCCATTCCAAGTCTATCTTAGTCAATTAATCTTGTTGCTTACATCTAAAATCTTTCTATAGCAGCTATAGCACCATGGGTGTCATCTTTTCATGGTACAGGCAGTGCACCTCCAGATATATCCAGCATAGCGTCCACCTGACCTAGTTCTAAATTCTAAACCTACTGTACCTGGTAACAATCAGTCGCTGCATAAATCCCAATGTTCCCTTATGTTTGAGTGGCTGAACCCCACTTTTGCTGATTTTCCGCAATATTCCATTTTTCAATTCACCTATCCTAAATCCAATGGTCAATGGTCAATCATGAACATTTCCCTATGAACACATCCATAAAATTGGACAAATTGGTGGTATATCATATACCTAAATACACTGCTTAATCATCATTACTATCATTACCCCTCCTAAAAAGGCTATAAAATTATGGGCTGAATCCACCAGTTCACACAAACATCGTCTAGTTGGTGATATCTTCCCTTTCTTTGCGATCTTTAAATCACCATTTTCCCGCATTTTTCCAGTGATTGCATCCATTATATTGATGTTGTTACCATTATAACTCAGTATATCCCATTATATTATATATATATATATATGTATATGTATATATGGTGATATGTTTGAATTAGTTTCCAACAGGTTCCATCATTTTTCAGTGTTAAATCTCCAGTTCCTGTTGCACCGAAGAAATGAGGACAGCTATCAGCCCCGGAACCACTCCCCGCCGCGTCACGAAGTGCATAGCTATGCGCACGGACATGCCGGAAGCTCAATGTGGCTGGGGGTCAAAATGGTGATTGAACCGGTAAACTGAGGGGGCTTATCCAACTGAACATAGTGACATCCAACAAAAAAATTGGATTCAACATTCAGCCATTGCGATTTAACAAACAAACATGGCGATTTAGCTAGCAACACCTGGGATTATCATGGGTATCATAGAGATAATCAGGGGGATGTAAACAGAATATTTCATGCGTATATCTGGGGGTATTTCAATATGGTTATTACCATTTTACTAACTATGACTGTGCCAAAACTTCTATGGTCACTCCGAAAAAGATGCAGAAAAGTATCAATTCCTACATTTCCCTGGTGATGAATTAGGGTCCCTCATTTTTTTGGTGTTGCGACCATCGTATGTAGCGCCCGGTAATCAAGCACGGCGATGATGTTCTCATGAAAGCCTCAGTTAACAGTTCCGGGATTTTCTTGCTACGTTTCATGAAACCCGTGGGTAGCTGGTTGAACGACTCATGATATTTCCGAAACTATGTCCAAGAAACAGTTCTTGGTTAAGACAGCATCGTTTATTGGTTAAATCCCCATGATTGTGAACCACTAGTCACCATAAATCCAGATTATTTACCAAATCGTTAAATCACCATGAAATTACCAATTTAAGTTCGGTAAATTATCTATAAATGGACCATCTATACCATAGCAAATTGCTAGTTCACAAGAGGGAAGCAGCATGTTTGTTCATCACCATTCATCCATTATTCCATGAAATCACCATTAGAGCACCATTCAGTCACCTTTCAGTCACCATTCAGTCACCATTAAGCCACCATTCAATATTCATTCACTCACCATAAAACATAGCCGCATAGCCTCTGCCAAGCTGTGTTTGTTCATGCTGCGCAGAGTCGAGTCACGCAGGCGGCGCTGTCGCATCACGCTCAGGCCGGGTCAAAGGATGTACCAGTTCTTGGGGATACCGAAAAAAGTGCCATTTTGTGGGGAAACAATAAACACATCATGGTAAAAATGGTGAAACATTTTCTAAAGATGATGGTTAACATGTTTGAATGTTCTTTCTTTTGGAGGGAAGATGATGATTCCCATACATGTTTTAACAATTTTAACATTGATGAACCATGGATGTCACATCTCAGGAGGAATCCCAGAACCGTCCCAATGACTATGGTAAGTCTGGCAAAAACCACCTTAGTTGGTGCCCAGAAGTGATATGTTTCTTGATAAGAACAAATGAATAGTTCAATGTATCAAATATAAACAAATAGCATTTACCTGGTTACTAAAACATTACAGTTATGGCCCTTTACCAGTTATAAGTACTTATAATCCCATTTATAGAATGTATAATCCCATTTATAACCAGTTATAACTAATAGCCATTGCCACAACTGTACAAACCAACGCCATCGCTATCTGGAGGGGCCACAGGGAAATCACCCAGGATGTCACTTTAGTGAGATATCGGATGTGTTATTCATGATACATATTGTATATATATATATATATTCATCACATGTGATAACTTATTACATAATTATATGTTATCCATGATATGTCATGCCCTGTCCATTATATACATGATATGTCAGATGTTTTGATGCCATCCATGATATATATATATTATGTTTACATGGCATGCACAGGTTATAGTACAATCAATATATATATATACACATACAGAACACATCCATACATCATCCTCACTAATGACTTGTTTTTGAAAAACATATTCTAACTACTTCAGGATGATGGTATGCATGAACATATATACAATAGTTGGTTATATATCCCATTATTATATCCGCAATGTATACCCATTCTATCCTTGTTTATAGATTTGTTCATATAAATGCCCATATATACTTACTAAAGTTCAGGACAATTGTATATATGTATATATGTATTTATATATGTATATGTACATACGTATATTCAGAACATTCGGCCATGGAGGTTTCACTTCAGAGAGCCGCCAGTGAAAGTTTGAGTGTGATATTCACAACATCCTCCATACATGAAAAATACCAATCTCCTTTTCGAGCTTCGAAGGCCCCCCAGCACGACCAGCGACACGTGGCCTTTGCCGGTGGCTTCAGCGGTGGTTACAATGGTGGTTGGGGGAGCCCAGTCGTTGCAGGATCTGGATCCCAGGTTTACTTTTGGACATTTTTTGATGATTTTTGTAAATTAAAGTGATCAAACGATTGCCCAATAAATTTATGATCATCAAATTATGCAGCATATTCTGATGATTCCAAGCCAGTTTTTTTGGATTTTAAGTGAGTTCAATATATTTTGACAATGTTGATATGTTTAATGGTTTCAAAATATGTTCACACATGTTGGTATTTTCAGTGGTCTGTGCCTTTATGTTTGCCCTTAAAAAGACGCACCCTTTCGAGGATATGGGTACATGCAAACCACAGAGGATTTAAAGTGCTCAGAAAGATGAACATGAAAACGTACGTGCACCCTCAGTGAGCAACATATCAACTGGATGCAACTGGGTGAAATTTATTTGCTGATGAGCAAACTTGAGGACTTTGTACTGTAGAATGTGTTAGGATTAATGTGTTAGAATTTTTTCCTCGGATTTTGGCATCAAATCATGACATGACACCCCTAACAAGATAGAACAGTAGAATCCCACCAAAACACCATGGTAAGTTGAAGCTGTTCTTCTTTTTCGGGGGTTACGACCTGTTTCCATATCCCGACCCCCCAACCGTGCCCCCATTCCTCAGGTTTCGCTCCACCACAAGCAGTGGCTCCGTCCATGGCGCCCTGTCCAGTCACGGTGACTGCAGCACCATGCCACGGCGGTGTCATGGCGCCGGTGCCGATGGCGGGGAGCGGCCTGGTGCCATGTGGCGGCAGTGTACACGGAGGCTGGGCTGGACAGGTTTGAAAATTGATTTTACACATAACACGGTGAAAACATGGTACTTATATGATGTTGCATGTATTCATTGGATCTTGATGAATATAACTATACTATATATATATATATATAAATAATATATATATATATAATTATATATAGAATGGGAATATAGTTGATGGATATCAATCGGATCTAAGCGACTGGTTTATGACAATGGTGATGGGACATATATGGAAATAGGATGACTCAGTGGAGGACTTGTGAGGGGTTTGTTGAATTTTGATGGGTGATCATGACCATTTTATGTAGATGTTTTATGATTTTCATGGGAATATTTCATGGGTAATATAGCCAACAGTAGGAATATACATTACTGGGAGGATCATCCAAGACTTAGCAAGTGATTAGTAACCACAGTTGTAACCCCCTTGAGGCCACTTGTAATGTGGAATACACTTGGGGGGACCTCCGAACCGGGGTGAACCAGTTACTGGTACTGCGACGCCGAACGACCTCATCAAACATGGCTATTGTTGGGGAAGCCATCAGAAATGGCCAAGCAGGTGAATTTTGAGTCCTGCTTGAGTCTAAAGTGACGCCGCCTATGTTTGCTCAACAAGCCTGCTTATGACCTCAAGAAGCTCCATGACAAGCTTAACAAGCTTGCCACCACATGTCAGCAATTTGGAAGACTGGCGGCTCAGGGATGGGACAAAGCCATTGCAAAGGGAACTTGCAGACAGAATTGAAAAAATCGCTTCTATGTTCCTGGACTGATTGCAGCCATAGACTGACATTGGATGGATTTGGATATCTAATATCTATTCATATCTATCCATTTGTTCCCAGCAAAAATGAAAGTCAGACTGTTGTCAGGGTATCCAGCTGGTTCCAAAGATTTATGATTTTCCACCGCAAAGAAATGTGATGTTGATCCCAATTCACGAGCATCGGTTTTGGGCTTGAAACCACCAATCAGACATAGATTCGAGCTCTTATCCAGATATCCAAATGGATTATCAACTGACATGTAGCCATTAGCCATTATCTATGTCTGATAAGATCCACCATTTAGTTGGGTCAAAAAAGTCAGTTAATACATAAATCACAAGCCAATGTAGATCAATTACCCAATGGATCTACAACCATTTTTTGTTGGGCTTATGTGTTGAGTATCCCCATTTCGGGATGGTCGATTCTGCTAGAAAAAAACAAGGGATGAACAACGGAGGAACCACAGGGTATTTCTATGGTAATTTCAGATCACAGGGCATAGATTTATCCAAATGTGTTACAGATCATTTTTCTATAATTATATGGATAGAAAACGATGTATAGAAGAATTCAGATCATAACCTAGAATACCTGATAGTCATGATAGCGGAATTTATTCACATTCCACAGATCAGTCTTCTTTTAAAATTATAGTCAAGTTATAGTCATTGATACAAGGGAATAGTCAGACATAGATAGAAATACCTTGTAAAGGTTACTCCACTATCCTTCACTCTACCATTCTTCTATATAGTGGATAGTAGAATTATGTAGAATTCCTTGACTACCTTGTATATATTTATATAGTGTATAGGAATTCAGATCACACTCCATCAGCACAGGAGAGAGTGGCCACACATCTCCCGTACGTCCTGACGCCCAGACTGGCGGTACTCGCGAAGGGCCAGGGTCCAGCAGGGGGGTGTTCCTACCATGGGAAACGTTAATTGGACGGATTCCAGCCATAAACTTATAGTTATCAGTGGATCTTGCAGTGGATCATATTATCCTTAACACATATATCATATTATATATGTAATATTTAATATTTATATAAACTATATGTCTATAATAATCCTTAAACGTTGAACTTTTAGCAGTGGATCTTGCACCACCAAGCCCACGTTATCATCCAATGTTGGGACACCCGGTGCCAGCCTGGGTGTGTCTTGGCACTGGGGAAAGTTCCACAGCGGGTGACCCCCCAGAGTAAAATAAGTTGGGTTGTAAACTCTACTACAGAAACTATAGATATTGACATTATATATACACTGGTTGGTGGTTTGGAACATGAATTTTATTTTCCATCATATATGGGATAATCCTTCCCAACTGACTAATATTTTTCAGAGGGGTTGAAACCACCAACCAGTATAGATATTGACATTCAATATACATAGTAAATTATTAAATACCATAAAACACAATTAACCTAATTGTACGCCAACTTAACTTTCAAAAAAACGACGGAATCGGCCTGCACAAATTTGCCACGCACAAGCCTGTCCGAGAAACGAGCTCGCATTAGCGCTGCCACATTGGTAAAGCATCGGAAAGCTTGGATTGGTGTAATTGGCCACGCTGCCGATGAATGTGGAATGCTCTCGCCGAAACTATTGCACCAAGTCAATGACCGCACGCAAACAGCAAAGCAATGTACTGAGACATTTGGTGGCTTGTGGACGTGGCTCTCAGGTGACTTTCGGCAACTTCCGCCAGTTGGGCAACCATCTCTGGCGCAACCAGTCCCTGAGATCGACAGCATTCACCAGTCCCTGGATGGTGCGGACCTGGATCCTGAGAACCGTGCCTTGGCATATTTAGGATATAAGTTGCACTCATTGCTGCGGACCACGATCCTAAGAGCCATGCCTTCGGCGCGGAATCACACATATCCAATTCTGAATTCTATCCCACCAATATTCAAGTATTCCCATCGTCATATCCCTCGATTGCTTGTTAATTTCCTGAAACACATGTCACAAACGAACACATGATTTCCAAGAGATGAAAACGATGCATAAAGATTCGATAGCAAACATTATTTGATCATATTTATTTAGGTATTTCCTAATATCCCATAGTTATTTCCTAATCAAACATGTGTTGATCATCATTAGATCACATTTGATCTGTGTTACCCTCTGGTAATTTAACGTAGCTATTGAAAATGACCATTTATAGTGGATTTTCCCATTAAAAATGGTGATTTTCCCATTAAAAATGGTGATTTTCCCATTAAAAATGGTGATGTTTCACGTGACCACCGGTCGATTTTCAACCGGAGATCACCGGAAACATCAACCGTCAGAGACCAAGCCGAGAGGTCGTGCAGCGCCAGCGATGATGCCGGCAGGCGGAATGCGCCAGTGATCTGTGGCAGTTGGAGATGTATGGGCCACCTATACTGTATACTATATATAATAAACCATGTGTATGTATATACATATATCAATAATAATAATTTTAATAATAATGATAATACTAATAATTATTATTAATAATAATATTTACATATATTTGATAATATATATTATATTAGATTAAATTGTTTTATATTATATAATATTAAATATTATATTATAATATGATATGATATTATATTATATTATAGTGTTTTGTATTATATTATATTATATTACATTATATTATATTATATTATATTGTTTTGTATTATATTATATTATATTATGTTTTATATCAAATATTATGTTTTATATTATATTAATTTATATTGTATTATAGTATATTCTGTTTTATATATTATTATATTATATTATATATATTATATTATATTATATTATATTATATTATATTTTTTATATTATATTTTATTATATTATATTTTCAAACTATATATTAGATATTTTATATTATATTATATATTATTTTATATTTTATATATTATTTTATATTATATTATATTATTAGATTATATGTTTAAATTATATATTATATATTATATATTATATTACATTATGTTATATATTATATTATATTATATTATATCATATATTATTATATATATATATTTTTTATATTATATTTTATATTTTATTATATATTATATTATATTATTGTATACTATAGATGAATATGGGTAGAGGTCAATAGCGATGAAATCATGAATTGGACTTGTAGATGGAGTAACCCTAGCAGGAGCTCAAAAGCACATGTTATGTTGGTAGGAAACCCTCCATATCTCAAATTGTTGTGAATTAGTAGCCCCATTCGACTGGGTCTTATCCATTCTTGCCGGCGAATCGTATTTTTTTTGTTGGTGATATGATTCGTTACATCCCCCTGTTTGCTGGTTCTAATCTCCCTCATTCTTGGTAAAATCAAGCTCCCCAAATTTCTTCATCACTGTCGGGTCATTTAACAGTTTGCAATGGAAAATGGTTTGTTTCTACAGTATATAGATGATTGACCTATTCAAAATGGTCATTTTTCAATATAACTATGTAATAAATTACCAGAGGGCAGGTCATTACTAAATCCAATAAATTATATCCATTTATATCCAGGTACTCCCATTATATACCGATTGCCTACAAATCCCTATTGTTTTTGAAGATAAATAACCATGTAAATCTAGCTAGCAGCTAGCCTTCCCGTAGATCTTCCCTTCAACCCATGGACCAACCCTTCTGAATATTCCCAACCAGATATGACCCCATGAACTAGCTAGCCCATGAACAACCCCGTGTACCATGACGAAAGCATGGGTACATTGGGTACATTGCCCATGGTGGGATAGATGACCCGGGGCCCCAATCATCCCATTCATCCCCTGTAACTTGACCATAGCACATAGACCGTACAAACCCATACAAAATGACCTTATGTGCTATGGTCAAAATCTTATAGTTTTATGATTTTAAATATGGTAACATACATGTTATCCCATGGCTTACTGGTGCTTAGCAGGGAATGAGGGAATGATCCATAATCACTAGTAATAATAATCCCATTCCCCCATTCCCATCCATTCCCTACTAAGCACTAGTAAGATGGTACATTAATCAAAATCACTACATAAACCATGCAAAACCTCAAACCAAGCGGATGATCAGAGAGCCAACTTCTCACAACATGACGCAGGCGCCGCGGTAGTACGTCCCATGGAAGGTGGGCAAAGGGGATCAGCTGTTCCAGATTCCTTCCTAGCTGGGATGATGATCCCTATTTTCATCCATTCTCATCAAGTTTTCACTGTTGAAACCACCAACCAGTTAGATGTTATGTTTTCTGGGTTAGATGGATTTAAGATGGATTTAACTGTCAGCACCATTTCCACTAAAAGTTAAACTGGGATCAACAATTTCTTATGTTTGCCAGTGTTTGTGAAACCAGATTCTTATTTCAAATCTTTATTAACAGGATGTTTGTAGTTTTTGTTGGTTAACATGCCCAATGTTTGCTCGTGAAATTATTTGTCTAATCCTTATTGTTGCTGCAGCGGCGCAAGTTTTTGCTGGTCAATTCACCAGTGTTGGTTGTTAAATTATTAGATCCTCACTCTTTGGGGTGCGTTAAACCACCATTTTTGATGCTATGTGCCAATTTTTTTTCCGGTTTCACCCCAGACTTTTGTTGGTTAAACCATGTTAAACCAATATTTCTGTTGGTTAAACCACACTTTCGTTGCTGGTTCAATCGTTAAATCCGCATTTTTCTGGCACATTTAAGTTGCTTCCCTGCATGGCCGCGGCAGGGGGGATGAAGCTGCAGCCGGGCTTGACCCCGTCGTGGACTCGGCCATGACTGGTATGTTTCTAGTTGACTTAATTGGACACTGTGGTAGTTTACACTTAACTGGTAAATTTTGATGGTTGGAAAGCTCCCAAAGATGATATGTATGTATTGCAAACATGAAGTATGAGCATTAGCTAAGTATATGAATGTTGCAATATTTTGTAATTTGTAATGTACAAAAGTACGAACCATTAAACGTCGCGTGTTTTCAATGGGCAAATCTCTGCTGAAGATCTCTCATTCTCGTCGGGATGGCCGAGATTTATGGGACTTAGCTTCACAATGGGTAGTTTAGTACTAATATGTATTAAGAAATTTAAGATCCATTAATTACCCATAGGATCCATGTATGGCATATATGCTAACATTTGGGGTATATGGATGGTAAATGTTACCATATATAGCATACATGGATCCTATGGGTTATGAAATCACCATTCTTGTTTGGTAGCAATAGTCAGTGCTGACCGATCTTTTGTTATTGGTTAGAATATGTATGGACAGCTGCTAGCTTGAACCCGTGTGACTATAGTTCTCCTGGCAGGGTATCTGCTGGCTTGGCCATGATCTCCCCATTTGTTCGCTACCAATGGCGACTAATCAATTGGAGGTAAACCCTCCATGAATTGAGCCATGAATTTTGTACCCCAATCTGATCCCAACTAATCCTGGTTGCTAAATTGATAGCTGACTTTTACTGGTTATTACAATCCTCAATAAACCACATACTAGAACCCTAATCCCATTTAACCAATCATTCAATCAACAAGGATATAACTTTCATGGCTCAATCATCAGCTGTAATCCAATCAATGCCAATCAATCATTATATTTCAAATTTTCTCAATCATATCCCCATATTTCCCTATAATTTCCCATGATTTCCGAGAAAGTTAAGATTCTACAGAAAAAAATACTGGCAACATTGTAACATACCCTCTGGTAAACATTTACATAACTATGGAAAGATCCACCATTTTCAATGAGTAAATCCACTATTTCTATGGACCATTTTTAATAGCAAACTGTTAAATTACCAGAGGGTATATCACATTAACAATTCCATTAAGATCCCATTAAAAGTCCATATTCAATCCCATTAAATCCCATTAAAGTCCATTAAATCCCATTAAAGTCCATTAAATCCCATTAAAAGTCCATTCAATATACTATCCCATTAGATTTTTTGTCAACGTTGACCCGCAGAATCGCACCGAATCACTCTCCGGATGTTTTTTCGAGCCCGGAAATTTTCGGAAATCCCCCAGGTCACCCAACATCTTCTTGTCCAATCCGGGGCTACTTCCTCCAGGATGAGGTGATCTCGATCGGATGCGTTGGAAAAAATGGATGAAATGGATGATGCGTTGGCCTGAAAAACATGGTCTTTAAATGTCTTGAAAATAGATGAATTACCATTGATTAGATGAGTTACCATTGAGATTTATGTCTTGAAAATAGATGAATTACCATTGATTAGATGAGTTACCATTGATTTCCCATGGATTTAGCCATTGAACATGCTCATTTTCCATAGTTTTTTGATATGTTTACCAGAGGGTACCAACCATTTTGGTGCCCCCGCCAGAGCACTCGCCAGGACCTTGCGAAAGCTCCGCGGCGCCAGCGAGTTTGCGGTGTCAGAAGCAGATGCATTTTACCAACCATTAAAGATGTCATTTGAATGGTTTACAGTGGTTTATAGTGGTTTAT